AGATCTGTAATCTGACCCCGGACGCTCTCAGCCAGGACTCCACCAGGTTCTGGACCACTACAATGTTTGAGGGTGGCTGGAGGAGAGGAAGCACCGCCGGAGGCTGCAGGAACCATGCCAGTGAGGACGTTCATAATAACCCTTTATTAACCATGAGTTATTAACTATTAATAAAGACATGAGTTATTCATATGACAGTAGTAAGGAAAATAATGATGGAGCCAGCCCTAACTACAAACCTGAACCAGCCCTAACTATAAACCTGAACCAGCCCTAACTATAAACCTGAACCAGCCCTAACTATAAACCTGATCCAGCTCTAACTACAAACCTGAGCCAGCCCTAACTACAAACCTGAGCCAGTCCTAACTACAAACCTGAGCCAGTCCTAACTATAAACCTGAGCCAGCCCTAACTATAAACCTGAACCAGTCCTAACTATAAATGCAATGCTGAAACACTGGAATGTCCGTTTTGAATAGAAATTTCACTGCACCGTTCAAAGACAATGTTTACTAAACATCTACAAACACAATAACGATTATACATAATACATTCTATATATTTGTACCACAGTTTAAATACAGTTTAAGTGCCCAAAGATGAGACAGCTTGCTTTTGTTCTGCGCCTGAACCCAGCTAGGGTTTGATGTGTACACATTCCACCATTCTTTGCTAATGAAAACTACATATCCCATGATGCCTCCCTGCAGACACGTTCTGGATCAACCCTCAGTACAAGATCTCTCTGCTGGAGGAGGACGACGACCCCGAGGACGACGAGGCATCCTGCAGCTTCCTGGTGGCTCTGATGCAGAAAGACCGCCGACGCTTCCGCCGCCACGGCCAGGATGTCCACACCATCGGCTTTGCCGTCTACGAGGTCAAACACAGCTCTATTCTCTAGCTGCTGTACTATCAATAGTACACCGTTTATATATTTATATTCATATAATATTATATTCTATACTATTCAAATTGAGAACATTTGTTGACAGCCCAAACAGTAACCACCTTAAACATACTAGAAATGTCCTCAGACACCCTAACAAGTTAACCATTATGATTATTATTATTATATTATTGTTATTAACATTTTAAACCCCATAATGACCACCTACCAACCACCCTGAACCCTTTAGTAACTACATTAGAATTGCTTAGCAACCAGCTAATGATGCGTTAGCACGTTAGCATGTCATCAGAGACGATCACTCTGTTTTGTGACTTTTCTTCTTTGTCCCCCCCCCCTCACAGATCCCTGAGGAGGTGAGTCAGAACACATAAAAACTTTTATTCAAAACACTCAGTTTATAAACTCTAAGCGTCCGTCTGTCCGGCAGCACCGCGGCTGTCCCAGCGTACACATGAAGAAGGACTTCTTCCTGCGTCACTCCTCCTGCGCTCGATCTGAGACCTTCATCAACCTGCGAGAGGTGAGCGCTAGGCTCCGCCTCCCGCCGGGCGAGTACCTAATCGTCCCCTCCACCTTTGAACCCTCGAAGGAGGCCGATTTCGTCCTGAGGGTGTTCACGGAGAAACAGTCGGAGACCGAGTGAGTCCTCGTGATTCTAGTGATTTATTAAATATTGATTATGGATGAAGTGACGCTGTGTTGATCTCTGCAGGGAGATGGACGACGACGTGGTGGCCAACTTTGAAGAAGAGGTCAGGAACGATGTCTTTCTTTAAATCACATTCTAAAACAGAGGTCTTCAACAGGGGGTCGGCGGCCCCTAGGGGTACTGCAGGGGGTCCGTGAAACTTTTGGTTGATTAGACAATTTAAAATAAAAACATGAATATATGAACCTGTGTATTATTTGAATAGCTTAGTATTGAATGCACAAGAAAGAGGTATGTTTATACATGGCACTAGGCCCGGTTTAATATAAAACTCAATATATATAGTCGCATATATATAGTATATATATGTCCCTGCTTCATCTCTCTATCGGTTTGGGGGTCCTTGGCCTGAAAAACGTTGAAGACCCCTGCTCTAAAACATTTACTTCTCAACTTATAAAAGAAAATGATCTTCTTCTTCCTCTTCATGAATCATCAGCTCCTCTTCATCTTTTACTCTCTTTAGAATCAAAACAAACGTTTATGTTAATTTGTAGCATTTTATTTCAGCTCTTTTCAATTCAAGTTTGAACTTCTTGTGGTTGAATTTTCATTTCGATACAAATTATGCAAATCATCTGCTTATATAAAAGTAAAAGTGTTTTTTATACATTGAACATATATGTTATAACAGTAATAACTAAACTAAACTGTTATAACATATATTTTATAACAGTAATAACTAAACTAAACTGTTTGCTGGCTTTGTGTCGTGATGACCTTTTACCTTGCTGTTGTTCTTCTTCTCTGCAGAAGGAAATCTCAGCGGACGACGTCGACGACTCCTTCAGGTCCATGTTCGCTCAGCTGTCTGGAGACGTGAGTTTCTGGATAATAATAATAATAATAATAATAATAATAAATGAAACATTATAAAACACATAATGTTTATATCAACATGTTTCCTCTCATCAGGACATGGAGATCTCAGTCAGAGAGCTCAGGACCATCCTCAACCGGGTCGTGTCCAAACGTAAGTTCTGATGCTTCAGATGTTCAAATGTTCTGACTGTTTCACGTCACTTCTTCTTCTGTGGTCGTTTACAGACAGAGATCTTCAGACTGATGGTTTCAGCATGGAGTCCTGCAGAGCCATGGTCGGCCTTATGGACGTATCCTCCATCTGCTGGTTCTGTTAGTTCTGTTAGTCCTGCTGCTGTCTGCTGGTTCTGTTAGTTCTGTTTGTTCTGGTGCTGGTTCTGCTTGTTATTGCTGTTTATTTTTGTTCAAGCCCAACAGGTTAGAAGAAGGAAGTCTATAAACTGAGAATTAGTTTCTCAGCAGAAATAATCAATATTTGGGTTTAATGGTTAACGTCCTTAAATTATTGTAAATCCTTAAAAGTGTCCTTTATTTGAAACAGGTTTATATTGATTTGATAAGTGCATTTTGTCATATTTGAGTTTTAAACCTTATTTTCTGATCTGCTGTTAATTCAAACGCAACGCTTCTGTCCACTTCCTGTATTCATTTCAAATTAAAAGCCCCTCAGCATTTCAGCAGAGAGGAACCTCTTCATTTCCTAACAAGGCCTTTATTTTGAAACATTTGTTCAGTCTTCTTCACTTCTTCTTCTTGACTCAAGCTCAGAAAGACGGCAGCGCTCGACTTGATCTGCTGGAGTTCCAGGTTCTGTGGAACAAGATCAGGAAGTGGCTGGTGAGTTCAGAGGAGGAACGTTTGAGGAGAACGTGGAACCAAAACATGAGGAACCTGTGTTAGAACATAAAGTATATCCTTATAAAGACCACAACTCCCAGGGTGCATTTCACTAACACATAACCGACGTCATGTTTCTGTAGTCCAACAAGAAGTCGTCATGTTTCTGTAGTCCAACAGGAATTCGTCATGTTTCTGTAGTCCAACAGGAAGTCATCAGGTTTACAAGCTAACAAACACGTGTTTGTTAGCTAACGCTAATGCTAACGTTAGCTAACAAACACGTTATCTTGTGACTCTGCAGGGAATCTTCCGAGAGTTCGATCTGGATAAATCTGGATGCATGAGCTCCTACGAGATGCGTCTGGCGCTGGAAAACGGCGGTAAGTTCTCGTCACTCGTCGTTAAACGTTAAACGGTCAGTTTCTGTGAACTAACCCTCTGAGCTCTGTGTGTCCTCAGGGTTCAAGCTGAACAACAAGCTGTATCAGATGCTGGTTGCTCGATACGCCGACAACGAGATCATCGACTTCGACAACTTCACCTGCTGCCTCGTCAAGCTGGAGGCCATGTTCAGTAGGTCACTCTGGTGCTGCCGTCAGGGCCCTCTGTTCACTATGCTGCTGCCTTCAGGCCCTCTGTTCACTCTGATGCTGCCTTCAGGGCCCTCTGTTCACTATGCTGCTGCCTTCAGGCCCTCTGTTCACTCTGATGCTGCTGCCTTCAGGGCCCTCTGTTCACTCTGGTGCTGCCGTCAGGGCCCTCTGTTCACTCTGCTGCTGCTGCCTTCAGGGCCCTCTGTTCACTCTGCTGCTGCCTTCAGGGCCCTCTAATACTGTGGTATTAGTACTTTTACTAATACTGTGAAATACTTTGAATACTTTTAGTATTAAAAGTACTAATACTGTGGTGTGAGTACTTTTACTGCAGTAAAACATCAGAGTACTGACTCTTGGTCTGTACAACGTGACCTGAACGTTGTGTTTCTTCTTCTGTGGTGTTTTTTAGAAGCGTTCAAGGAGCTTGACAGGGACGGGACCGGAAGTGCAGAACTGAACATCAGCGAGGTTTGTGTTATAAAACATGAAGTACAGTATGTCGATGACATCATTGTAGTTGAAACACCCGTGTATTCAAGCCCTGAGCTGAGTCTGCAGGCTTCCTCTCAGATCATCACCTCAGTATTTTATTCTGTGTATTATATATAAATAATATAATATATCAGACCCAGTGTGTGTAAATATATATGTATAAATATGCATTTCATTTAGTGTGTTTATATTCTCTGATGCTGTGACGTTGTCTCTCCTCAGTGGCTCTATGTGACCATGTGTGGATGAAGAGCTGCAGTCACAAGAACACGACGACCGCACTACTACTACATTATAGCTACAGTACTACTACTACTACTACATCACAACTACAGTACTACTAGTACTACATCATAGCTACAGTACTACTACTACTACATCACAACTACAGTACTACTAGTACTACATCATAGCTATAGTACTACTACTACTACTACATCATAGCTATAGTACTACTACTACTACTATATCATAGCTACAGTACTACTACTACATCATAGCTAGAGTACTACTACTACATCATAGCTACAGTATTACTAGTACTACATCATAGCTACAATACTACTAGTACTACATCATAGCTACAGTACTACTAGTACTACATCATAGCTATAGTACTACTACTACATCACAACTACAGTACTACTAGTACTACATCATAGCTATAGTGCTACTACTAGTACTACAGTATCACATAAACATTATGACGTCTCTATATGATTCTATGTATAATGTATTTCTGCCTCCATCTCACCTGAGAACCTGCTCTGGGCCTGTGAGTCAGAGTTCTGGGTTTATTCCCCAGGAGACATTGGAGGCGTTCAGGCTCAGCTCGGTCAAACCAACGCTGGATGTTTTCTCTCATTAAAGTACAGAAAGGAAACAAAACCACCGACTCTGTGTCTGATTTAAACGTGTCTGTGAATCTTTAGTTCTCTTTCATTCACTTTTATCGTGTTTTTATGTTTTATTTCAACAGAATCCCTGAAAAGAACGAGACAGTATGTCTAATGTGTTACTATAAATTATATTTATTATAATAACCAGTTTAAACTCAAGTTTAAAGTCCACAAACACAAGCCTCTGATTCTACAGAACCAGGGCTCCGATGGTCTGATCCGGATCAGTCCTGGTTCTGGTTCTCCCGGGCCTCCCTTCCCTCCAGCGGGCCCAACAGTACGGCCTGGGCTTCCAGCAGCGTGGTGTCGGTGTTGGCCCCAAGGAACCGGGCGGTGAGCTCCAGGTCCTGCAGCCGCAGACGGACCCTGCTGCCCGTCTGCAGCTTCTCTCCGTCGGCCGGTCGTCGACACACGCAGTGGAACTTCCCTCCGAAGTCGACGTACAGGTCGTCGTGGACCACGTGGACGATCCTCCCGACCACCACCTTGTCTCTGGCCGGTCCCATCTGGACCAGCGGAGACCTCCGGAGCAGCGAGGAGAAGCTCTGCTCCTGTCCGGAGGAGGAGACTATGCCGCCAGCCACAGAGCTCTCCGCCTCCCGTCGGAGCTCCGACTGCAGGTCGAAGGCTGCGGAGAACCCGGATGTGGGTCTTCTGTCCGAGTAGTCTGAGCTGAAGGAGGGGCTGGAGAACCTGCAGGAGGTGAACCGGTGTCCACACCCGAAGCTGGAAACAACCTTCCTCAGGGCCGCCATGTTGTTACAACACCAGGGGAACCAGAACACCGTGACTTCCGGTGTAGAAGGCCGCTCACAACGCCACCCGGTGGGTCCCGGTACTGCAGCTTTATTTCTAAGAAAAACTAAGACAAACCTTTATTTACAGGATGACAGCAGCGTACAGTATATATAATATATATAACAAAGTATAGTGCACACAAGAGGCATAGTAAAAACAAGATCGAAGTAAAAAATCCTAATAACTAAAATATTATATATACAGACAGAATAATTGTATTATTGCAGTGTATTTATATTGCACAGATGTGTTAGTGTTGTCCACTGGGAGCAGCTTTATTTATAACATGGGACTCTTTAGAAGTAGGTGATTATTTATTAGAGAGCGAGAGCGAGAGAGAGAGAGATAGAGATAGATAGATACTTTATTAATCCCGAAGGGGAAGTTTGTTTGCTACATTAGCATAACGCAATAAAAATGCACAATATATATACAATAAAATAGAATCATATTAAATCAACTAATTATTTTATTTCACTTTATTTCATTTCATTGACGGCAGGTAGCGTCGCGATGACGTCTCTTCTCTTTCCGGAGTGTTGAGCCCACAGAAGAAGAAGAAGAAGAAGCAGCAGCGCATGCGCCCTCAGCAGAAAACTAACAACATGGAGGTGATCGTGAGCTCTCCCTTTCTCCGCTTCTCTAACTCGCTGTTTCCGGACGGGTCTCTGGTCCGAGACGTTCTGGACCGGTTCGTCCAGCAGCACGTAAGTGTTCACGACAGGTTTATGCGGGAAAACAGAAAAAATGGCGGGCTGAAAGTTTAGTGTCGTGGTGTTAGCCCACTAGCTAACGTTAGCAAACACACACAAACAGAAGGCTAGCCTCGTTAGCTTAAAGTTTAACTTGTTAAATATGAATATTGATCTATTACTCTATATATGTATCGGTATGATGCTTCTGTTAAAGATGTAAAAGGCATCTTTAAAGAAGTTTAAACAGTGTTGTGTGTCTGTAGGGACTTTCTTCTTCTACGGATTTCTACGTGGTCAGAAATGGTCGCGTGTCTCACCTGGAGGACGCTCTGCAGAGCGGGGCCGTCTATCACCTGGAACCCCGCCTCCGTGGAGGGAAAGGAGGTGCGTTTAAATAGACAAAATAATAAACTAATACAAAGTTAGGCCAAATCCCAATGTCCCGCCTTACGGACTCACGGACTTTGAGGCGCGCTCCCGCGAAGTCCGTGAGGGTTCAGGGCTGTCCCACTGTCAAATCGTCAAGGGTTTGAGGGTTCTCTGGCAGACATTTTGAGCCCTTTATGAACCCTTTCCGTTAGCCTAAGGGAATTACCCACAAATCATTGCAATGTGACGTTAAACACGGGGTAACCAGTGGACGCATGGAGACTTAAAGAAAAAGGTAAACACAGAGGACTGATCAAGTGTGTTCAGCCTGGTGTAATAAATGTACTCAGAAACATTAAGGGTTAAAGATGGAACAAAAAATAAACATGAAATCAGAAGATATTTATTTATTTATTCATCAAATATTTGATTTTGTCATTGAAGCTGTTTTGACAAAAACGAGTAAATAGATGATATGAAGTTACCTCTCATCTAGTGAGGAAAGAGCCTGAAGACATTCACATCAGGGAGTACAAAGTACAAAATAAATACACACAATTATACATCATATTTTTTGTAGTTTTCATGGTAACGTGATATGTTGCAGCAAAGTGCTGTCCCGTTCATATTTACACCATTTCAAGCCCTCACAGTCTCTCACACTCACCCACTCACCAGGTGACGTCAGTAAGTCCTTGAGGGTTCAGGGTTTGAGGGTTTAGGGGGGACATTGGGATTTGGCCTTATTCAGGAAACAGGAGATTAAAGACGAGTTCTTCTTCTGTGTTGTTTTCAGGGTTTGGCTCCATGCTGAGAGCTTTGGGAGCTCAGATCGAAAAGACTACAAACAGGGAGGCCTGTAGAGACCTGAGTGGGAGGAGACTACGAGATGTGAACCACGAGAAGGAGTAAGAGTACTCCTTCCACTACTACTTCTCCTCCTCCTACTACTACTACTACTTCTTCTTCTTCTTCTACTCCTTATACTTCTTCTTCTCCTCCTACTACTACTACTACTTCTTCTTCTCATCCTCCTACTACTACTTATTCTACTACTTCTTCTCCTCCTACTACTTCTTCTCCTACTACTACTACTACTCCTCCTCCTACTACTCCTTATACTTCTTCTACTACTCCTTCTTATACTTCTTCTTCTCCCAATACTACTCCTTCTTATTCTCCTCCTCCTACTACTTCTTCTTCTCCTACTACTTCTCCTTCTCCTCCTGTAGAGATCTGAGTGGGAGGAGACTGAGAGACGTGAACCACAAGAAGGAGTAAGAAGCTCCTCCTCTTCTTCTGTAGTGTGTAGGGTGGCTGCAACAGACAGAGAGGGAGGCGCAGAAGGAGCAGCGTTGTTTGGAGCGCCTCCTCCTCTTCTTCTTCTTCTTCTTCTTCTTCACTAAATGTAATCTCCTCTTCTTCTCCTTGTTAACTAAATGGACCTCCTCTTCTTCTGTGGTGTGTAGGATGGCTGAGTGGCTGCAGCAGCAGACAGAGAGGGAGGCGCAGAAGGAGCAGCGTCGTGTGGAGCGCCTCCAGAGGAAGCTGTCTGAACCTAAACACCAGTTCAGTGACCCGGAGTACCAGAGACAGTGTCACGACCTGTCAGAGAGGCTGGAGGACTCTGTGATGAAGGGTGACTCCTCCCACTATGATGATGTCATGATGTCATGTGACCTCCTTTAACCTCTCAGGTGTGTCTCAGGTCTGCAGGTGAAGGACGGCTCTGCACCAAAGAGAACAAACTGTGACCACAGAGAGCAGCCGCAAAAGAAGAAACAGAAGAAGAACAACGCAGCAGCAGCCAGGTTCTGGTGAGGAGGAGGAGGAGACTAAAATGTTTAATCACATGATTTTTTGTGATGAATCTCATTGTTATGGCAAAGTTCAACAATGAATTCAAAAGTAGTGTATTGTCACTTTTATTTTGAAGTGCTGCTATCTGAACAAAAGATCAAAAATATTTGGTTTAAACACATCAGGTTCTTGTTAACAGCAGTATTCCCTTTACACAGCAGCAGTTATACAGTTATAATGATTCTGATCATAGATATTCAGCTGGTGTTCATAACTTTATCTTCATGTGTGTAAGAGATGATATTTAAATATACTTGAGAACTGCAAACCTATCTACGTCATGTTCTTATGTTTGTTAGATTCTCAGTAGTGATACTAAATGATGCTTATTATACATATTACAAAGAAAACACTTTAAAAACTCTAAAACAATAATTTAAATGAATCATTTATTTTTTGCTTTTGTTGGTATTTAGGTCAGACACATATGCAACGCTGATTACCGTAATATGTGTGGTATTTGTTATGAATGTACGTTGGTACATAGAGGGTGATAAGAAGCTGTACATGGAGGGACTTAGGACCCAGGGGAATGTAGGTGAAGGAAACAGGAAGAGACGGAAGAGACGCCACACAAACAGCTGTTCACCGCTCGCTCACGGTTCTTGTGTTAAAAATGACGCTTAATAGTTTTAAAAAAAAAACTGCGATAATAGCGTGTTAACTTGCCCAGCACTAGTTTTAATATTATGTGTATATGTTTCCATGGTTACAGGACCGGAGAGATGCTGAGCTCAGAAGATGAGTCTTCATCCTCCTCCAGCTGTGGAGCTGCTCCTGTTACCATGACGATGCATACAGAGGAGGCGGAGCCTGAGCAAAGCAGCAGGTTAGAGAACTAGATCCTCTCGGGTCCAGATCCTCTAGGCCAGAGGTCTTCAGGGGTCCGCGACCCCTGTATGATGATTATCATGCAATTAACAGACAATATTGATGTTGGCATTGGCATCAGCTGACAAGGTGTGTTTATAAATGGCAGTGCACGGCCTCCCTATTCACTGTACCTTGCACATGTTTAAAATAACATGAATATATGAACCTGTGTATTGTTTGAATAGCTTAGTATTGAACGCACAATAAAGAGGTATGTTTATACATGGCACTAGGCCCAGTTTAATATAAAACACAATGTTATACTATATATATCTATATCTATCTATCTATCTCTATATATATCTATCTATCTCGATCTAGATATATATATATATAGCCGGGGGTCCCTGCTCCATCTCTCTATCAGTTTGGGGGTCCTTGGCCTGAAAAACGTTGACCCCTGCTCTAGGGTCCAGATCCAGCACACATTTACTAAAATCATCGTCTCCTGCAGCTCCTCAGACGCCTCCTCAGCTCCTCAGACCAGCAGACCTGCAGGAGGTCGGGGTTCTCCAGAGACCGTCGGAGACCAGACTGCTACACCCTCAGAGGACCAGGGTCCTCCAGAGACCCCCAGAGACCAGAGCGTCAGACCCTCAGAGGACCCGGGTCCTCCAGAGACAGCCAGAGACCAGACCGCTACACCAGAGACCCCTAGAATTCCGGGTCGGTCTCTGGTGGGTCGGTCTCTGGTGGATCTGGAGTCTCTGGGTCTGGAGGTCCTGAAGGAGGAACTGATGTCTCGGGGGTTGAAGTGTGGGGGGACGCTGAAGGAGCGCGCTCAAAGACTCTTCTCCATCAGAGACCTGAGACCAGATCAGATCAACCCGGCGCTGCTCGCTAGACCGGCCAAGACCAAGAGGAAGTGAAGAGGGCCGGCTCTTAAAGGAACAGTCGCCTCTTTAATAGCTTCATATTCGCTCCACTCTGATTAAATGTTGATCTGTAACTTTATTTGAGGCTTTTTAACAGGAAGGACGAACACTGATTGAGGATTCGTCCTCTTTGAATCGTGTAACCGTCTGATTTAAATTTGTATTAAAAATGTTTCTGAAACAAAAAACTTGTTTGGTTTGGACTGGTTATATTGGACAAAGTGTCCCAGTTAACCCACGAGACCAGGACCACCAGACCTCGTTTCAGCTTTTAAAGGTGCGAGAGGAAGTGACATGTTGCAGATGATTTATGTCCAAAACACAAATACAATTTTACATCAAAGTTAAATTATTACATTTTACACGAGTTAAGTCTGTTTGTGCAGCAGAGCATGCTGGGAAGTGATGTTTAGAAGCCGGGGTCCCAGGAAGTGACCTGCTGAGTGTCCAGCGCCTCGAAACAGACGATGACATCACCGGACCTGAAGTCCACGTCTCCGTCGGCCGACAGACCGCATTCCATCCCCAACTTCACCGTCTGGACCTCGTCTTTGTGGTGCTTCAACGCCACCAGAGAACCTGAAGGAACACGAGGGAACAGTGAGAGAACGTCGTATAATGTGTGTTGGTCACAGCTTTACTTCCTGTCCTCACAGTAGACCAGTTCTTAAAGTACTAAGTCCAGGTCCAGGTTCTGACTCACCCTCCCAGACGGTGTCTCGGCCTCGGATCAGTCTGAACTTGAGTCGGCGGTCCAGCTGACCTTTCTGAACCCGACAGCCGGCAACAGGAACCTTCTTCTTCCCCACGGAGACGTCAAACATGGCGAGAACCGTCGCTTCACCTGCAGAGAGATAAACCGCTTTCTGTTTGTCTTTGTCCTCGTTAGACGTGAATAAAAATATATTGGTACAGCTTTGAGATTGATGGACTCTTGACCTGTAAACTATTCAACTAAATGACGGATCAGTTTTATCTTCATGATTCCAAAATGGTTTGTGGAGAAACTCAGCTTTACAGATCTATTGATTAAATAAACGTATCAATAAGTCGACAATGGTTTGCGTGTTCAGTAAATATGAACGAATATTAAACATGACCTTTGTGTCTTTGAGCAGAGTTCATTTAGAACGTCTACTGAACTAAAGAACAATCTGTTGGTGAAGAACACATTCTCGTCCTCTGAGAGGTCAGAGGTCAAACTGACAACACGGATCTACGGTTCCTCACCGACGATGTTCTCTGAGAGCAGCGGAGACAGTTTGCTGCTCAGCTCGTCCTTCAGTTCGTCGATCAGCTTGTAGATGACGGTGTGGAGTCTCAGCGGGACGCCGCGCCGCGCCGCCAGCTGCTGGACGGACCTGCTGGCTGCGACGTTGAAGCCGTAGATGGAACCTGTTGAAGGAAGATGGAACGTCAGGAGGAGTCTCTGTCGGTTCTGGGGTTTCTGAACGTCTACCTGTGAACGTGTCGGCCATGTTGATGTCGTTCTCTGAAACGTCCCCGATGCCGAAGTGAAGCACCTCCAGCTGACACTGCTGCTCAGCGTCGTAACCGTCCAGGATGTTGAGGATGGCCTCCACCGAGCCGTCCACGTCACCTGCAAGTCAAAGGTCAGTCAGTGTGGCCATGAGGGGAACCGTGATGACTAAATGTATCTACCAGGCTGAACATGAACTTCTCCTGGTAACCCCGTGTTTAACGTCACGTTTCTGAAGACCTTCACTGTGAATGGACACAATTCTTGCATTTCCTGATAATTAACTTAAAATTAATAATAAAGTGTTTCAATGCAGCTGAATTCATGAAACAAACTCATTTACTGAAGCTAGAAACAGAAACAGGTCACCTGTTGAAACCCTGCCCAGGTGTGACTGTGAGTGATGTCACAGTGAGAGCAGCCAATCAGAGCCCAGCTGTGTGTGTGTGTACCTTTGATGATGAGCGGCAGGCTCAGCTCGTCTCTCTGCGTCCTCTCGCTCGGTCTCACGGCGAACTTGTTCTTGTTGGCTCGGTACAGAGCCGACTTCCTCTGCCTCCAGCTCAGGTGACTTAGCCCCGCCCTCTCTTTCCTGTACTCCTCCAGGTGGAGCTTCTGTTTGAGCTCGATGACGCTCTGCTCCTCCTGCAGCTTCTCCTGCTCCTCTGCGTGACTCCTCCACTCCACCGCCTCCCTTGCTCGCTGCTGCTCAACGACACAACAAAATAAACGTTAACTCACTGCTGCTCGGACGGAGAAAGGTGATTAGTGATGACAACAAAGCAGGTGTTTGAAATAAAAACTCAGAGCTCAGCGGGGATCAAACCGCCGGTGTGTCGTGTGTTTTTGTTTCTAACCTCAGACTCGACCTCCACGATGACGTCTCCAGCAGACGGCAGCTCTTTCCAGCCCACCACCTCGACCGCCGAGCTCGGCCCGACCTCCGTCACCGCTTGCCCGTTCTCGTCAAATAGGAAACGGACTTTAGCCCAACTCTTCCCCGCCACCAGGACGCAACCTCGCCTCAAAGTCCCCCGCTGGATGATGGCCGACGTTACAGGACTGAGGGGACACGTGACAGAACTCAAGAAAACCAGACTGTCTGTAGAACTCTTAGAACCAGAGTTACATTCTGTCTCTAGAGATCACTAAGAACTCATAGAACCAGAGTTACATTCTGTCTCTAGAGCTCATGTAGAACTCAGAACCAGAGTTACAATCTGTCACTGATGACTCACCCTCTGCCTTTGTCGGTGCGACTCTCGATGACGAGTCCCTCCACGGCACCACTAGGCTCCGCCTTCAGCTCCAAAACCTCGGCCAGCGCCACCGTGGCCTCGGCCAGAGCCAGCAGGTTGTCGCCCTAAAACATCAACAAGACTTGAAACTAGGGATTGAGACCATAAACTCATGTTTACAATGTTTACTGAGGTAATAAATAAAGAGAGAAGTAGAGTAATTTTCTCATAGACTTCTATACAACCAGAGGAGTCGCCCCCTGGTGGACACTAGAGAGAATGCAGCTTTAAGACAACTAAACACTGCTGCTGACGGCCTGCAGGGGGCTCCACAGTGGATTAAACTAAACTAGTTCACCTTGAGAGCAGAGACGTGGATCGCCTGAACGTCTCCTCCAAACTCCTCACAGACGACATCATGAGCCAGCAGCTCCTGTTTGACTCTCTGAGGGTCGGCCTGAGGTTTATCACACTTATTCACCGCCACTATTATCGGAACTGAGATAAGATGAAAACACAGTCTAAACGTGGTACAAACACAGTGGAAACAGAGTGAAAACCAAATATAAACACTTTAGAAACAACCTTTGGCTCTCCTGGCGTGCTGGATGGACTCGACTGTCTGGTTCATGACGCCGTCGTCGGCCGCCACCACCAGGACGACGATGTCGGTGGCGTTGGCTCCGCGGGCTCTCATTGAGGAGAAGGCAGCATGACCCGGAGTGTCCAGAAAGGTGATCTTCTCACCTGTAGGCAGCTGAACTGGAAGAAAAAACCCACCGGTATGGTTTGTTTAGACACTATTTTGTGAATAAAGTTGAATGAAAGCAGGTGAGAAGCTTCAGGTGAATGTTACCTAGAAAAGCTCCGATGTGCTGAGTGATCCCTCCGGCCTCCGTGGAGACGATCTGGCTCTTCCTCAGACTGTCCAGCAGGGTGGTCTTACCGTGGTCCACGTGGCCCATGATGGTGACCACCGGGGGGCGGGGCTTCAGGAGAGACAGGTCAGCTGGAGGTCTGAGGGGGTCAGAGAGGTCACACGAAAAGGTCTCAGAAATCAATCAACCAATCAATGAGTCAATCAACCAACAAACCAATCAATCATTCAACCAATAAGTCAATCATTCAGTCAATCAGTCATTGTAGCCCCTTCCTGATTGGTCCGTTTGTAGCCCCTTCCTGATTGGTCCGTTTGTAGCCCCTTCCTGATTGGTCGGTGTGTGATTGGTTGTCCTCGCAGTAGAAACAACATGAATGAACAACAGGTTAAATCATGTGACCTTAAAGAATTCATCGTACCTCCTCTGGACGTCCCTGTTGGGTCTCTCTCTGCTCTCACTCAGTTTGGCCCATTTGAACTTCATCCCCGACCGAGTCACCACCTCCTTAATCCACCTCTCCTCCAGAACCAAGTCCAGCTCCAGAGAGTCCACATCCATAGAGGTGTTCAGGAGAGCCTCCAAGACGTGGTCTAAAGACAGAAAAACACATTAAATAAACTTTATTCTACAAAGACTCTCTCCTCTAACACGATAGTGAAGTTCGCTGATGACACCACTATAATATCAAACAACGAGGAGGCGCACTACAGAGATTAGGTACAACATCTGGTTGAGTGGTGTACTGACAATAACCTGGTCCTGAACACTATAAAAACCAAAGAGATCATCGTGGATTTCAGGCGAACCAGGAAGACCACAGCTCCCCCTCTCCACATTAACAGTGAGGAGGTGGAGAGTGTCAGTGACATCAAATTCTTGGGAATCCACATCACAAAGGATCTGAAATGGGCCCTTAACACCTCCCACCTGGTGAAGAAAGCCCAACAGAGGCTCTTCTTCTTGAGGAAACTCCAAAAAGTCAAACTCCCCTCTCAGCTCCTAGTCAACTTCTACAGGAGCACCATAGAGACAATCCTCTGCCACTGCGCCACCGTCTGGTACACCAGCTGCACAGCAGAGAACCGGAGAGACCTGGCCCGAGTAGTTAAAACAGCGCAGAGGATCGTAGGAACCGAGCTCTGGACACGGTGTATGTTAGCAACATCAGCAAGGACCCAAACCCACCCAGGTCACAGCCTGTTTGTCCCCCTGCCATCGGGGAGAAGGTACAGAACTATACAAACACGCAGACTGAGGCCACGTCCACACTACTTCGTTTTGAAACGCATATGCCTTGCTACGTTTACACTGAGCGTCCACACTACACCGGCGTTTTCGAGCACCGAAAACGGTGGAATTTGAAAACGCTCCCAAAGACGGATAAGTTTGATAACTCCGGGTTGTGTATTCATGTGGACGGCCGAAAAACAGAGGAGTTTGAAAATGATGACGCCCACACCCGCGTTCACTACTTGATTGGTTGTTAGCAGTCACGACGTGTCCTTCCCTGATTGGTCACGCCCCTATCACGTGACCCTTACCCGGAAGATCACAAACAACAACAGCTTGATTACCGATCGACTACCAGGTTAACTCAACATGGACGACTGATTACAGGCGATGCTGACCTTGTTGTCTTTACTAGCAGCTGTTGTTCAGTTAGAGTCTGCATTGTTACGGAGCAAGCAGCTGTTAGTGGAGCGATCAGTGAGCAGCGTGTCCAGTGGAGGTATCAGACCTACGGAGACGTCTGAAGTCACGGTTAGCAGCTTTAGGGAGGGTGATAGACTTTCCTTTTCTTATCAGTGCTTATTTTGTTCTGCACAACTATTGTGAAGTCCACACACATAAACTGTAAAGGAACAAAAGCAGTAAATGCTCTCCAGTAGGACAGAGACTTCAGCCACCAGCAGAGCTACGAGTGAGAACAGACAACAACGAAACCGAGAGGGAACGAGTGAGAGACGTGTTTATGGATCATAATCTTGTAAACCTTTACGTGTAAGTGTTGATTTTAAAGTAAATGTGATGTGAGAGAGAGACCCGCTGTAACTAAGTCCGAAAAATAAAACTTCTAAAACTTTCCACGAACTGTGTCTGTTTGAGTTCATAGAGGAATATTTTAGAGAAGATTTTAAGTATCAAACACAACCTTTCATTATTAAAGACTACTTTATTACTCTGTCATATTTTTTTTTCACTAAGCAACCAATCCACTTCCTGTTTACATCGGCAACCACGCACATGCCCAGTGTATGTGAAGAGTCACGTGATATTTGTTTTTAGGCGTTTTCGTCTGGACGGAGATCAATTCGAAAATGATGCTGAAACGTCGTGTGGATGGAGATCGTTTTTGTTTTAAAACTCCGTTTCCAAATGGAGTAGTGTGGACATGGCCTGAGGAACAGCCTCTTCCCCAGAGCTGTAGCCTCCATCCCCCC